TATTAATTTAAAAAAAGGGGTTTCTTCGATTTTATCTTTTGTGCTTTTTTTAACACAGATTATCCCTCATTTTCATGTCCAGTATTTTTATACAAATTATAATCTTCGACTGATATTTCTGAGCCTCTTTCCCTCCGTATTGAATAATTGTCTTCGATATTGCCGGAATATTCGACGGCTGGCGCTTTAGGATTTTCATGTCCCAAAGAAAAGTATTTATTTAGCACAATATTGCCGGTACCAACTTTTAGTGATGGGCGAGTCCGAGATGTTTAAACGATCGAGAGAATCGCCATCGTTGCAAAATTACAATCGAGTCAATAATCGACTCGCTGCCCGACTCTACAATCGAGATGTTTTTCGACTATTTCGAGTCGACCGACTTATCTGGGGCCGTCGTGTCATCGATATATTTCGTAGATTTGTGCAGGTATGTATGCAAAATTGACGATGTTAAGAGTGCAGTTATTTTGAATATATTTACATACATAGCGCAGACAAATTGAAATGTTAAAAGTATTTTTCGGAAATTTAAAATGCCTCGCTGTTTTAAAGAATCGATAGTCTGGGAATTTTTTAATAAAATTTCGGATGGTGGCAAGGTAACATCGGCTAAATGCAAATTGTGCAATACGAGCTACAAATTTGGAAACACAACCAATTTGCATGACCACCTCAAAAGGAAGCATCCCATTCAACTTTCAGAATTTCAGGAACAGCAAACTCCGAACGAAATTGTTGAGCTTACCACCCAGTCTCATGCACTTGAACCTACAAGTTCTGCCCCAACATTTTCCTGCAGATCTTCAGCCACAACCACAAGTTCAACTGATCAGACGTCTGGACAGTATCCACCTGCTCCAAAAAGAGTTAAACAGATGAGATTATATGGTTTGACAAAAACGTCTGAACCCAACGATTATGAGCGTCTGGAATTTCAAAGAGATGTGATGCGCATGATGGCCGTCGACCGTCAACCTTTAAGCATGGTTGAAAATCGTGGGTTCAATTATTTTACAAAAAAATATATATTACGTCACAAACTTCCATCCCGTAAAGTATTATCAGAAAGTATGTTAGGAGAAGTATATGATCCCATGATTTCAGATTTCAGAAGCATGCTAGAGAAATCCTACTATGTATCTTTAACAAGCGACTTGTGGTCTTCAGACAGCAATCGATGTTATATAACTATCACCGCACATTTCATTTACGACTTTAAAACCAGATCTTTAGCTTTGTCAACCAAAGAAGTCAAAACTGACCATTCCGCCATTAATATCGGCCAAGCGATTTTAGATATTCTATCAAAATGGCAAATTACTGACAAAATCGTTACAGTTGTAACGGGCAATGCGGCAAACATGAAAAAAGCTGTTTTAGAACACCTTCGTAAAAATCATGATCCTTGCGTAGCTCACACGCTTAATTTATCAGTTCAGGATAGTATTAAGTACAAGCCGAACCTCGACAATTTACTATCTAAATGTAGGTCTATAGTGACTTACCTTAAACAGAGCAATGTGGCAGCATACAAGTTGAGGGAGCTCCAACAACAGATGGGGATAAATGAGCTTAAACTTAAACCAGATGTACCCACTCGGTGGAACTCTACAGTCGTTATGCTGGAAAGGCTACGTAAATTGAAATTGCCTCTGGCAGCAACTCTTTCTTCTTTAGTCAATGCACCAAGAAATTTAGACGGCTTTAAGTGGGAGGCCGTGGATGACTGCATCCAAATTTTTAAACCAGTCCTAATTTTAACTGAAGATTTGTCAGGCGAAACATATTCAACGATGTCGCGTATCACCCCTCTTATCCGAGGACTTCAAATCGAAATAAAAAATAAAAGCCCCACAACAGACGTCGGAAAGCAGTTAAAACTAAATCTTCTGGAAGTAATTTTAGAATACTTGGTTTTCTAAAAACTACAAAAGCCGTAGCAAAAGCTACATTTTTAGACCCCAGGTTTAAGAAAGCTGCGTTCGGTAATGGAGAGAACGCCGATAATGCTCAGCAGTGGATCACCGATGAATTAAGCAGATTAATTGAGAATCAAAGTGTTTCTGAGGACGATCAATTGCCAACTATTTCCACAGCAAGTTCTACCGATACTACGAAAGATTCGAATGGGCTGTGGGGTCATTTCGACCAGAAAGTTGCTGCTATAACGTCCACTACAACACCGACAGCTAGCGCTATTTCAATCATAAAACAATATCTTAAAATGCCTTATTTCGATCGTAAGCAGGATCCATTGCAGTTTTGGAAAATGCATCATTCTACGTTTCCAGAACTATATACACGAGCTTCCAAATATCTGAATATTCCTGCAACTTCTGTGCCCTCGGAACGTATATTTAGTAAAGCTGGTATGATTACCAATTTGAGGCGAAACAGATTGGATCCAAAAAGACTGGATGAACTCTTATTTTTAAGTGAGAATTTAGACTTAAATACTTTTCTTTGATTTTTGATATTTGATATCGAATTTATACTCATTGAGATAATTTTTGGATATATGGGCTTTTATGTCCTCTTTATAATAGGAAAATTAAAAAAAAAAATCGTAGAAGCCCGTATATCCAATAATTACTATAATTGATCTAATGTATTTGTTTACCAACCAACAAGGGTATTTTGTTTGCTTCTCCTTAAGTAGTATTAATTGCAATCATTCCATTTTTTCTTTATAAAAATTGACTGCATGAACAAATAAAATTGCCATGGGCCACAGCTAGTCCGAGATATTTTGTCTGGTTGGTATCTGATCAAAGAACGTAAATCTGTAATTAATTTGTATTTAATAAACAATAGTTTTTAAAAGCACACTTTATCCATCAATTGGCTCGAAGCATCGCTTTTTGCACATTTCTTTAAATGAACAATCGGCTATCATTTACTGATGAAAACAAATCACATGTACATTCATATATAAAGGCATGGGCTTTTTTTATAAAACGAATGCAATTGTATATAAAAGTACACTGTAGTTGTTCAAACACTTCTGACTACTGGGCACTTTTGCCCACAAGATTTTACACATTTCCAAACTTTTACTTTTATTTATATTTTCTAATCTAAAAATCATATTTCTCCATCCACTTGCACAAAATCACAGAAGTCACTGAATTTAATATTTGTCGATTTTCGTTTGTTTTGCTTTGTTCCTATTCGAGCGAAAATCGCGTACAGAGTCAAAACGGAGACGAAATACCAAGGTAATTCAGAGATGTTTTGGTCGATTGCAAGGCGTATTCATATTAAATTTGCCTTGGTCAATTGTTTCGGTTCTTATATTTTATTCGCGACTACCATTTTGTCACAAATTCGTCTACGAGGGAAAACATCGAGAACCATCGAGATATTTGAACAATCGAGACAATCGACTAAAACATCTCGGACTCGCCCATCACTACCAACTTCGGCGGGCACCTTATGACTTTCTTGTCTCAAGAGGTTTAAATTTTCTGCATTTTGCACTTTTCAACTTCGTTTTTTGTATTGCCGGTATAAACTTCGGCGGGCGCCTTAGGACTTTCTTGTCCCAAGGGGTTTAATTATTCTGCCCTTTTGCACTTTTTAACTTCTTCTTTTGTATTGCCCGTACCAACTTCGGCGGGCACTTTAGGGCTTTAGGTTTAAATTTTCTGTATTTTGCACTTTTCAACTTCGTTTTTTGTATTGCCGGTACCAACTTCGGCGGGCACCTTAGGACTTTCTTGTCCCAAGAGGTTTAAATTTTCTGCATTTTGCACTTCTCAACTTCGTTTTTTGTATTGCCGGTAAAAACTTCGGCGGGCGCCGTAGGCCTTTCTTGTCCCAAGGGGTTTAAATATTCTGCCCCTTTTCACTTCTTTACTTTTCTCATATTTTGTTTTTCATTTTTCGGATATTTGCCTGTGTAAACGGGGTGATGAAAAAAGGAGCTTTGATTGCGATAACATTTATATGTGAACATACTTTTACATAGGTCTCTCTGTTCTGATCCTGTTGAAAGTATGTTCGTTGGTTTTAGTGATAATGTTCAAAAGTCTCTTATTGTTTGTGTCTATAACCCACATAAAAGCAATGATTTGACTTCGCTTTTTACTAAAACTGAGCTGCTACTGAGCTGTCTGTTAGCTATGTGCATGTTCTCATCTGTGGTGATTTTAATGTAGACATGTTAATGAATAACACTAGCAGGTCTATTCTGCGCTGGTAATAAAAAGTTTGTAACCGGTAAATAAAGTTCCTGTCAATTTTTAAACCCTTTTCGCATTCTGTGTACTCTTGTAATCGGTAAATTTTGTTACCATCTCATAAGCTGGTAACAAAATATTGCCCCGTGCCAGAATTTGCTCAATTCTTCATAGCTGAATTGCTGAATGTTTTAACTGCATTATCAACGTAGCTAGAATCGCGGTGACAAGAGCTGGTAACATTTTTTGGTAATAAAATTTTCCGGTTACGAAATTTTCGGTAACGTACAGAATAGGCCTGTAAGTGTAAGCATTTGCTGAGCAGCTTTAATGCTAGTGGCATCACTATCGTCAATAAATATGTAACACGCTTTTCACCACAATGCAAGCCAAGCATGTTAGATCTTTTTGGCGCTAGTGTCGTTAATAATATTAATCATATTGACCGATTCCTCTTGGCTGGAATATCTGACCTTGACGTTCCCTCCAACGTTTTGTGGAAAAATATAAAATCAATGAGAGTCTGCGATAAGGATAAAAAAAACCTGTACCGTCGATGCGAATATGATGAACTCGTATTTTATTGGGATAAATAAGCAAACAAATCCTTCGTCGTATGTGATAAATCAGCATCTTATCTCGAAATCGGGTTCTGAATTTACGTTCGATGTAGTCACTGAAGATGAAGTTGTAAGGAGTATCTATG